TTAACCATTGATGTAGCTCGTCTCGGAGTCCCCATCCAGGAAGACGGCAACGACAGGTGCAGCTGAGTTTGCTGGTAGTGGCTTTTACACTTCGCTGCCAGGTCAGTGTTTGACCTCTCCTGGCTCGTTTTCACCCTTCGCGTGGTTGTGCGAAATAAACCTTCGAGGAAGTCGGTCGATTGACATAGGGAGCACGTGCCCAAGCCAGCGCAGCCTATACAGTGTTACCAGTTCATCTATCGCGGACGAGTTATTTCTTCTGAATACCATTTGACGTATTTCAGCATTGCTGATTCCGTGTTCCCACCAGACTCGGACAATGCTTTCAAGATATCGATGGTCAAACATTGAAGGTCTTTTGACGTCCTCGGGGAGCACCGGCCACGTTTCTGACCCGTACAGCAATGTGTATCGCACCGCAGCATTGTAAACTCGACCCTTGACGGATACGCACTTCTAGTTGACAACTTTGTTCTCGCATTTTACGAGTTATCTGTTGCATAGATATGAAATGTGGTGACTTTCATGTGGAAAGAATGCGCCAAACACTTATATTATCATCCAGCTACTCTTGCCTATTTTGGCTGCCAGCGCAGACACTAAGAAATTGAAGTGATTTGATAACTGATGCTACATTGTAAAATGTTTGGGTGCAATTCGTTTCCAAACGGGAATGGGGAGCAGGAACAGCCAACTGCGACACTCGATACTACAGAACAGAAACACTAACCCATTTTAGTGTTTTAGCAGTCCAACATGTGCACCTCGATGCATAGAAATAACCTAACACATTGTCATCGCCTGGCACATTATCCTGTTTAGTAATCTGATACCGCAATATGGAATGTCGTTATAACCGTGGGAAAGAGAACAAGTTTGGGCTAAAGATAATAAGGCCACGCATCAGCCTACAGCGCAGCGGAACAATCATGTGGTGAACCAGTGGCGTACAAGTACGTCCACGCGCACAGACGGTCATCTATGACCAAACGTGACAACGAAAACAACCACTCGAGAACCGGTGTGGGCGTGCAGGAGATACACCGGTTGGTTGAGAACAGATCGACCACCAAATATGGTCACAAGTGAATGGTATAAATAGAACGCCGTATTTGCATTAATACACAGTTTTCTGGCCGCCTTCTTGTCTTCTGACTGTAGCCCGGTAGCATTGGAGAAGGCGAAGAGAGACAACAGTGGCGACGGGGCATCTTTATTTCGAAACTCAATCATGGCAGTCAGTTTCGAACAAATGCAAGCCCTATTGCAACAGCAACAAGCGCATTTTGAAAAGTTGCAAGCACAATTTGAAAGATATCAAACGAATTTGACCGAGACGTTATCGCAGAACTTTTCAAAGCAAGCAATCGCAATATTATCAGCACTAGACAATGTTCCTTCACCGGAGACTCTGACGCAGCATCAGTGAGTTCCATTATGATGCGGATTCTGGCTTCAATTTCGAATCTTGGATCCATAAATATGTTTCATATCGATTTGGTTAATGTGTCAGAAGAAAATAAAATTCAGCTCATGCTTCCAAAGTTGGGCGTTGCTGAGCACGAAAAGTTTTTGATCTTTATTCTCCCGAAGAAGAGTACGGATCTAAGCTTCGATGAAGTGGTCACAGTGTCATCTCAAATATTCGGAGGATCCACATCGATTTTCAATATTCGTCACAAATGTCTTACGATGTGCAAAAAAGATGAGGACTGGGTTAGCTATTCACGTCATGTGAGTAGAGAATGTGAACGGCCAAATTTTCACAAAATGACGAGTGCCTCATTCACGTCTGTGGTCTACAATCAACAAAGAGTGCAGATTTTCGGACTAAGTTACTGAATAAAATCGAGCAGAACCCTGAGGTCACACTACAGCAGGTGACTGCGGAATGCGTACGAATGGTGAATCTGAAACACGATACATCGATGATTCAACGATCGTCCAACGAGTGCAACCACGATTCGATCGGTGAAGTCAACCGAACGATAAATGATTCAGTGCAGGTTAATCCTTCAGCATTTTGGTTTTGCAAGGAATGGCATTTTGCACGGAATCGTTCCTTTCGGAACTAGCAACCGGTGTGGCAGAAAGTGTTACAAGGAAATCTGCTGTAGCTCAACAGTGCAAAATGCCATTCCTTGCAAGACCAACATGCTGAAGGGAGTACAGAGCTTGATGGATTAACCTGCACTGAATCATTTATCGTTCGGTTGACTTCACCGATCGAATCGTGGTTGCACTCGTTGGACGATCGTTGAATCATCGATGTATCGTGTTTCAGATTCACCATTCGTACGCATTCCGCAGTCACCTGCTGTAGTGTGACCTCAGGGTTCTGCTCGATTTTATTCAGTAACTTAGTCCGAAAATCTGCACTCTTTGTTGATTGTAGACCACAGACGTGAATGAGGCACTCGTCATTTTGTGAAAATTTGGCCGTTCACATTCTCTACTCACATGACGTGAATAGCTAACCCAGTCCTCATCTTTTTTGCACATCGTAAGACATTTGTGACGAATATTGAAAATCGATGTGGATCCTCCGAATATTTGAGATGACACTGTGACCACTTCATCGAAGCTTAGATCCGTACTCTTCTTCGGGAGAATAAAGATCAAAAACTTTTCGTGCTCAGCAACGCCCAACTTTGGAAGCATGAGCTGAATTTTATTTTCTTCTGACACATTAACCAAATCGATATGAAACATATTTATGGATCCAAGATTCGAAATTGAAGCCAGAATCCGCATCATAATGGAACTCACTGATGCTGCGTCAGAGTCTCCGGTGAAGGAACATTGTCTGGTGCTGATAATATTACGATTGCTTGCTTCGAAAAGTTCTGCGATAACGTCTCGGTCAAATTCGTTTGATATCTTTCAAATTGTGCTTGCAACTTTTCAAAATGCGCTTGTTGCTGTTGCAATAGGGCTTGCATTTGTTCGAAACTGACTGCCATGATTGAGTTTCGAAATAAAGATGCCCCGTCGCCACTGTTGTCTCTCTTCGCCTTCTCCAATGCTACCGGGCTACAGTCAGAAGACAAGAAGGCGGCCAGAAAACTGTGTATTAATGCAAATACGGCGTTCTATTTATACCATTCACTTGTGACCATATTTGGTGGTCGATCTGTTCTCAACCAACCGGTGTATCTCCTGCACGCCCACACCGGTTCTCGAGTGGTTGTTTTCGTTGTCACGTTTGGTCATAGATGACCGTCTGTGCGCGTGGACGTACTTGTACGCCACTGGTTCACCACATGATTGTTCCGCTGCGCTGTAGGCTGATGCGTGGCCTTATTATCTTTAGCCCAAACTTGTTCTCTTTCCCATGGTTATAACGACATTCCATATTGCGGTATCAGATTACTAAACAGGATAATGTGCCAGGCGATGACAATGTGTTAGGCTATTTCTATGCATCAGGTGAGAATCAACCACGCTGCGAGGTGCACATGTTGGAGTGCGAAAACACTAGCATGTGTTCGTGTATCTATTCTGCGCTATCGGGTGGCTTGATTGGCTCTTCGGCTTGGAACCAGTTGGCGTTGAATTTTCAACTTTATATTCCTCCGTTTCCTTGAAGGAACACGGTCGGAAGTTTCAAATATTTAACCCATTTCAATCACCGTCCTAGCACAACTTACGGAGTTTTGTGTGTGCTTTCAAAACGGATGTTATTCGGGTCCCCTTGGTTTTAGAGGTTGAATGCCACTTGTGTAGTCTTTAAGGTTCATATTTCAATTTTTAAGTGCCTTTCTGGTGTCTTACCTTAGGAGATAAAATTCGGTAATAGAAGCGTACCACATTATTGTGTGCTGGGTAAACACGGTTGTGGAAACCGTTGAACCTAGCTTTCGTTACGATGACTCATTTTTTACAATTTTATCTGTTATGGTTTTCCAGATTCTCTCCTTTCATCGATTTTAGCTAAATGTCTTATCTACCATGCTACCCTTTGTCCGAGTTGCATCAGGCGCGCAACGCATTTGTTATGCACTGGTACAATGCGATCCATCGAGACCCGTGGGTCCGAGTCATCCACGACTGGCATTATCGATTTCCACCGTCTATTCGAGTGTTGAATTGCGCTGAGTATCCATTCGCATCTGAAGATGATGTCTATCGAATGCCGTCTCTTCCGAAATGTGGACCGAACGATCCAAGCGCATCCAAACCACACTCCGTCCTCCACCAAAATGCCAGATTTTATCAGGATTGTAAAACTCTCACAGAATCAGTTTTGTCGGATCCCATGCGTCAGACAGTCACTGGGAAATCATCAGTTGGACCACCCATCTATATATGTGATATCTGTTCTTTCGAAAGTGAGAAACGGCCAGACGCCGAGAAGCATCTAAAGGAGGCAGCTCACTCTTCATGCAGTCACTATGCCTCTGCAACCAATCAGCACGCTGGCTCGACTGAGTCAGACGAGCAATTCACCATAGTTTTATGTCAGGCGCGTGTGATATATAATGCATCCGTTCCGGGTTTGGCTTGGTTTTCTGAGCACACAGCTATCGTGTGTCCTTCTTGCTCGGCGATTTTCCCGGACAAGGTAAGACGATACAATCGAAATTGTGGGATTTTGCCAATTTTGGATGCTTATGTTATCGGCATTCAGCAACCTATCTGTTAAAAACAATGGTTCCCATGGCCTCTGTACGCCTAAAATATCCCTGACGCTTGTCTCTGAAGCTGTGTGGAGGTCTCTTTAGAACACTGAACCAGCAGTGTTTTCGTACGCCATTTGGTTTCTCGGAGAAAGAATCCCCCCTACATGACACAAACCAATCACAATTCATTGATCACACCTGCTAGAGTATGCAATTAACTTTATCAGAGGACAGTCTGCATCACAGATGCCATTTCTACACCGCATCATGTGGGCGAGAATTAGATAGTAACCAACAGCCTATGACTGGGCATCAAGGTTTAAGGATCCTACAGACCTAATGCACTACGCATAAGATTGCTGAAACTTGGAAACACCACAAACGAGAGATTTAGCTGGATCCCAGGTGAGTCTCTCGCAAAACCAAATTTTCCAATGGGTGTATTTCACTATAGGAATCCTTCTTGACAGACCCAGTCGATTGCCAGACCAGGCACCAGCTGGGATGAACAGGCATTCCCACAGACTAGCTATACCGGTGATTCAACCGTGCAGTTTGTGTCTCCCATGAAACCACCCTCAATCTGTACCCTTCCTAATCTCCACTGCATGGGCCGGTTTACGGCAGTGAAGCATCGATGTTGAACACTGATGTCATGCTGTCGATGAATGATATGATGATGATGATGATGATGCATGGGCCGGTTAGGTGGTCTTCGTAAATGCGTGTTTGTCTTTGCCGTTCTTTGTATTCAGAGAGTGAAAACTGTGGTAGATGGAACCAGCAAATCGTTGGTGCACCCTTCACACTTGATGAATTGAACTGAACCATTTTGACTTCCAGATTTTGCGCCATCATGCGAATCTAGGCCAATATACTTGCCTCTTTATGGAAGCACCATCCTCCAGGTCCCTTCCTCCAAGAAAAGATCACCACTCAGAAGAATCTGTTACTAAGTTTATTAATGTGGTCTTCCAAAGAGAGATAGAGAGACAGGTATGGCAAAGCACAGTAAAGTGCTTTAATCCGTGCTAATTTCGCTGCAGAATCATGTACTTTCCTGCTTAGTTAATGTGCTCCTAACCTTTTAGTACGAACTCAAGCGTTTACTCAGGAGGGTGAGACAACATGAAGTAAGCTTGCCATCGGATAATGTTGTATCGTATCTCAACGGGAGCCACTCGAAAAGCGCTACAGATTGAGCTTGAGGTCGGCATCTCACTCAGTTTATGTACTGTACAGTGCTCCTTTGTAAGTCAGAACTTACCAGGTGATCTGTAGAATAATACAGCTGTAGCCCGCATTTATCATACCCAGGGCTTGAAGTCCTTTGATTCGAGGATATCAGTAATCTGATGGTTTTCCACATTTAGATGACTTGTTCAGCTTCTGAGTTCCTTTGTCGCAAACTTCTAGGGGTCGGTATAAATCTTTGAGATTATACAGGGTAATGTCTAACTAGAGCGCTAACCTTGTCTAGAGTTCGTTGTGTGGGTTGAGCATTGTGTCCTCCTGTGTTCCGTTTCAGCTAATGTGCGCTTATCACCATCAGTCGCAGCATCCTGGTCACAATGCCAAATTCTCCTACGGTTCTGTCCTCAAGTTTTGCAACTTCGATGTGAGCCTTCCCCCGACCTGTACCAACTGCAAACAAAGGTTCCCAGATCTTAACACCTTTGCAAAACATTGGACCACCAGTAGCAGTACATGCCCTTCCCCGTTTTCGCTCATCGGTTCGGATGATGCTAGCACCCGTCCTGATCAAATTGTCCAAGTCTACTGTCACTCTTGCCGGGCCTACTTCGATCGACTGACGTCCACGGCTGATGGTGCAGCGCATGTGATACCTACGGGCACGAAACGCAAAAGGCACGCAGCCCTCTACGATGGTCCAGGCCAAAATAATTCCGACTCATCCCATTCACTAGATCCTTCTGGTTTATCGGGGTTCGCACGTTTCTGTATGAATCACGCGTCACTTCACCTAACTGATTGGGGTGGCCAAAGCGATGTTTGTAAATTGTCCATTCGCTTTGTCGAAGCTGACAAAAACAACGCTCAGACACTTCCGGCCTACTTGAGCGATTCGGACCAAGATCTACTGTTGTTCTGTATTCATGAGTGCAAACGCATGTTAACCTACTTGGACCATTTGCGTACCGGCCATCGGAGTCTTCATCGGCGTGCAAAAGATGAGCTAAAACGGCTACTCTCACTTGCTGAGACCTATTCGACGTAAATTTTCTCGGAAACACACGTCCATGTAAATATTTTGTCATACTTGAATTTCTTACACTGTTATTATGAATAATCGCTGAAATGCGCAATCACGGTCTCCGGATTTCTGTCGTACCAAGGGAGAATTCGATAGGTGAAATTAACCAGAGTTCAATACATCTCCCTGACAAGTGTCATTCAGGACATCTGCATGGTCGCTTGCGTCTTCAGGAATGCGAAGATTTGAGGAATCAAAATTGAACTGGACATATTGCTGGCTTTTACCTTCAAAGCCTCTCCGTGTAGATAGTAAAGGGTTTTCACTAAGGCACTTTATTACAACTTTGACAAAAAACGAACAATATGAGTCCTATTGAGAACGGAGATTGTGATGGGAATGAGCGAGCAGTCAGTGTAGGTCTTCGCTAGTGAATGTGGTGCACAAGCTCAAATAATGCGTTAGCTGCGCATGAGATTTTCTCTACTCTATGCGATCTGTTGAGTCAGAATTGAACCAAAATCTCTTCAACCGCTTTCGAACAAGTGACTTTTTTTTACCCATAATGAGGTTTGTTAGATATGGGCTTAAGAACCCGAAGACGTGATTGTATTGAATGCTGTCGTCATTTGTACCCACAGAAGCATACTGGGTGCCTGCTTCACTGATTGTAAAAGTACCTAGAACCAGATTGCAGTCCCATAACTAGTTTAACTGTGGTGCATCCTGTTGAACCTCGGACGACTGACTTCCGTGCGACTGAATCAGTCGGAACACAAGCCAACTATACGAGACAAAGTTCTGAACTTGATAGTCCATCATGTCATACCCTCAGAGAACAGTCAGCAACCTTCGCTCTACCCTTGTTTCAGGTTATGATGCACCTGAGGAAGGTTGTAGTCTCCTTATTCGACTATACCAGACGACAATGAGTTTTGTCGCAGTCATATAATAAGCCCATGATGGACTTCGCTACTGTTTCCCACTGCATCATACCTAATATTCGTCTGAACTTGTCAGTTCTATAATTCAAAACCTCAGAGTGCTGGAGCCCCAGAAAATGATGGACACACCACAAAAATTTAGAATAAAGGATCTAGGGGGTGGTTGAAATAAGAGAAGGCACTGTAGACCGTTCTATCAAGGCTACGATGCGTGAAAGTATCCCTAGATCGGATAGCAAATGAGTTTACCATATAGTTCAAGGCCTTTCATGTTACTTCTAACGAGCGCTTCATAGGCGTCTCCTGTAGCGGTCACTTTTCAGATTTACTGATTCACTGGCTTTCTAGTACTATATCTACTTTCCGGGTTTCGAAAGCCTCGTACAAACTTAACTTCTCGAATCACAGAGCATTACTCTCACGTTCGTCAGAGCATAACGTAGCAAGCACAAACAGCCAAATTGTTACCATGCTCAATACGTGACAGCAACACAACTAATTCCGACCACTGCCGATGAAAGGTCGAAAGTAACATGAGCAGCACAGTTCACTTTAGGGACGAAATGGCTAATGAATTCAATATACTTCCGGGAGAGACTGACTCACGTCAATTGATAAAGCCAGTTAATCAGAGAAGATAATTCTCATCTATGGAACAAGTCAATTTTTAGGTATTTTCACAAGGAGTGTTTCACTGAATGCCCAGAAAAGTGGGTTGACTCGCTCATCTGGTCGGACAAATCATTAATGGTAATAAGGCACTAGATGACCACTGTCTGTTTGTATCGCCTCGTCAAATTATGTTCAGTTGATTATAAGCTACATTTGGAGTGTGTTACTGAATAAGTTCGGTTCATGTGGTTAATGACGCAGTTAGTCGGACTTTGTAGAATCCATTTTAAGAAAAACTGATTGGCCACAAGCACCTGCAAGAATATCTCATATTCGACCGCTATACTTGGCCGAAATGCCTGTCTCGATGCAGGTTAGGTGCTCTTAGTTCCACTTTTGGAAAAGATTAGCTGGATGGTCACCAGGATGGCGTCTTAGTAAATGTTTTTTCGGCTGTTTGTGTATGTGGGACAACAGTACCGGATGGGGTTGATGTTACGTTCGGCTAGGGAACAATGAATACGTTCTCTAAAACATAACCTTGTTCTGACCGCATGATGCAGTTTGTTCTATCTTGAAGATAATTTCTAACCCACACGAGCGTTTTCGCCCTTATTAGAACTTATCTGGTGGAAGCACAGACATCTGACGCATATTTTCGGCTTAAGAGCCGAACCTCGCGCTCTCAGCAGCTGGTGAACTTTGGTTAGGTGTGGAACGTTTCGGTTTTAATCGACTGCCGACTTATTTTCCTGACAACCGGTGACTATTTGGAATTTCTTCTGTCTTAGTAGAAATTGGTTCTCGTGTGACACCTGGTAATTACCATTTCATAGGCTTCGATTTGCAGAGGTCGTTCATATGGCAGATATTTCTTGGATAAGATCTAATCACCTTTGGTAGAAAACATCCTCCTCGTTTATTTGCTTCCATAAATTTGTTATCTAGAGACAAGCTTTACCATAAATAGTAACATCAGTCTGGACACTACTGCTCAGGAGGCACTAAATTGCCCAGTTCAAGAAAGAAGTGCGATCGGAAAGTGATTTGGTGTTAGCCTGAAAAAACAGTGTGAGGGCGAACAATAAAGGTCGGCAATTTGAGCGGAAACCCTATTACTGTCTCGTTGTCACCAGCCAATTGGTAGAAAATTCACGTGGACCTCATTCTTGATAGCAGGATCAATCGACAGTATTCAGCGCCGATGAGAAAACTACGTTGTTACCTGTTAAAGTATCGTCTGAGAACAAATTATATCTGAGTGCTTTTGAAGATGTCTCTTCTGTTAGTACGAGGAGCATGGTGTTGATGGATACCATGTACGTGAGGATTAAGATTACAGCGATTCCAACGAGGCTCGAGTTCCAACAGATGTCGAGCCGCAACTGGCTCATTCGAACGTGAACCCTTTGCAAGCTCATCAGAGATTCTTACTGCTACCACCTGGTTCCTTCAGAGGCTCTTTCGGGTCATGACTGTGTCACCACGGGTTCACTTCCGGTATATGTTACTGACCGAATAACGTGTTTTATCTTACCTTCGTCCTAAAGAATCAACTGGCTCTAGAATTTCGATGAAACATACCTTAGACAAAACGGTGCAAGCTTCATTATGCGACCGGAATTCCGTCTGACTCCCTTCCAAATGCAAAATTGAAGGGATGGGTTCCATCGAACTAAACAATTGTTAGATCCCTTGTTAAGCATAAACCCTCTATACGAGACAGCTATGTTCATTAGGCGTCTGATTAGTCGACCGGTTTAGCTTGAAGGTCGACCTTCGAATTTTCGATCGATAGTTGCACCAGCTGCTGAAAAGCAAATGAGTGGTCTCCTTTTGGCTTCCTAAAATGTCAGTTGATTCACTGGCGCTATTTGTCTACGGTGTTGCAAGGCCAATATCTTTTCTGAGGAGTGTCTGTTTGACATATCAAGCGCCGTTTTGATCGATGCCTCACACCTATTTGTCTAAGGTTTTCGGTTGCGGAATGTGCTCTGCTCCAAATAGTATTTCCGTTGTGGAACCAGGGTCCGTCCTGTGCACATCGCATATATTTTCCTCTCGCTCCCCAACTGAGTCATTTCGAACCATCCTCGATGAAAGTGACTCTTGTTTACCCGGTCGACCAACTCGGAAAGTCTCATCACCGTATTTGGGTTCGGAAAGGACGAAGGATCTACGCTTGAGTACTATCGTGATGTTTTGTCCAACGGAAGAGGAATTAGTAAATTTTGTTCAGTGTGGGGATTTTGGTATGACGCAGACAAGTCCCTGTCGGGCAAAAGAGGTAACGGAAACCGGTGACCCCACGGACAAGGGCTTCGATTCTGTCGGATCAACGCAGACGGGCATGTTTGTGGACCGGGGTCACTTATTGTCATTCCTTGATGATCCGAGTCATGTGATTGCAAGTTTACATCAAGTTGGAGGTTACCGGAATATTCCCATCTCGGGCCCTCGGGATTTGAGTGTCCCACGTATGACAGATTCGGGAAAAGCTGTCGAGAATCGTTCCACCATACCCGATGTGACTTCAACTTATTTGTTCTATGGACCGCAGGATCAAACGGTCCGTGAGACTCTTCACTTCACATCCGGCGACCGTGACATGCACCGAGAAAGCTTTGGCCATATAACGCGGGTAACTGGACATGGCGCCAGTGATATTATGAGACCAAATGCTCCAGTGGACTTCTCAAGAAAAATTGGCTCTTCAGCCAGCAGCCTTGTCGAGCCATCCGGCTCTTCGCTGGTCGACGCGAATCCTGCCTATAGCTCTACAACTCATGAAATTCGATGGACTCAGTTCGAACAGGAAACTATGGCTAGTGATAGAAATATCCGGTCTCTATTACCCATGCCCATTAAGACCGGGTTACGTGAAAGAAAATCTGGCGAATGTTCTATACCAAGGACAACTCCATCAGCCAATACCGAGCAACTTTGTCCCACTATCACAAGTCGCGCACAGGGTGAGCATACGTTGCCCACGAAAGCAAATAAAGTGAAGGGAGAGTCTTGTTCAGATGGTGGCTCGATGCTTTACGATCACTCTCTTCCTGTGCAGACCATTGAAGGACGAACCATTAACCCGTCTTGGAATGAGTTATCCTTGCTGATGAACCCATCAGATACGATTACACATTACCTGACTATTCCGAGCCCATTTTCTTCGAATTCAACTTTTGAGTGTGACAAAGAAGGTCACACCAGCTTGCTGGTGCAACATTCTTTTACACGGCACACATCCATATGTCCGTTCACATGCACGTACACCACTGATCCGAATGAGGCCTATCCAAACAGACACTTTTGTAGCCAATGTCATGCACTGTCTTCAACGCAAAGGTTAGAGAAGGGGAAGTTCACGCAGACCAAAATGAACCATGAACGGTGTGGTCTAAAACAATCCCATTTAGATCAGTTTGATCCTAATGGGAATGACGGAGTATTCGGTCCTTTTTTGAACTGCGTTATCCTGGTGCCTCCAATTGGTAGCTACCCACCAGCAGTCATTGTGCGCTGGTCACCCGAACATTTCCACAGTGACATATTGAAAAGGGCACCAGCGAAACTCCCGGTTAGAAGGGATCGGCCCTATCAATCGGATCTGAGGGTACAACCAAGTGGGGAAAATGTTCCAATTGCTCCAGGTGTACGGATGCCTTCCAAAAGTTTGATAAAATCAGAATCGACGAGGAAAAGTCAGGACGATTCACTCGTTTGTTTTTCGAGGGTGGACAAGATTGGTAAAAAGCCAAAAGAGCTCTACCAAATGGATGTGAACAGCACTCAAGCCATTGCTACGCACCCAAATACTTCAACCGAACTGGAGAATAACGAAGGCTACTTAAGGACTTTTCGTTGCATCTACGTGGAGGTAGTGATGCGTCGTGATCTGGAAGGCGTCGCCCGTCCAGATTATTTAGCTCAGATAGAAGCGCGAACAGTGCACATGATGCTTCTCCGTAAGCTCAAAAATGCCGTTGCAACACACATTCTTGGTTGCATGAGCAAGAGAACAGATTCTGAATACACAGCCTCTGAGTCCTCGGAACTGCCTCCTGGCATGTCTGAGTTGGGTGATCGGGGCAGCACTGAAAGTTCGGGAATTATTTCTCAGTGTTGCGAAAACAATGTGTTTAGAAAGGAGCCTCCAGAACCCGGAATCACGGTTTGGCCAAATAATTTTTCCGTTCGACAGAGGACCACAGGATTGAAAAGCTTCTTGGTACGTGTTGGGAAAATGTATAAATATCTCCCTACCTCAACGGTGAGCCGCAAATATTCTGGTTCCAGTGGTGTATACGTGTTCACCTCAGGTCTGCAACATACGAAGCTTCCGAAACCGTGGTGGGATCACGTGAGGAGCGTCGAAAGCCCTTCGGATCATCGAAGCGCAGGAGCCTGGAAAATCCATCCCCTCGATTTAACCGTTGGTGGCCTAATCAATTACGAACACCATTTACAAATTTTAGTCAGTTCAAATGATGGACGTTTGGGTGTTGTCTGCTGTCATGCAGATGCTCTTGTCACGGAACTCATTGGAAAAGGGACAAGGTATGTAATTAACCGAAAAAGTACGGCAGTCGAATCCAATCCTTCAGGAGTGTCTGCCTCTGGCGATTCCATCCGGATGTTTATCAAGTCACCTCTTCTGGCGCGTCTACTCGCATCAAATGGGATGGATCTGGCCATGGCAGTTGGACTGGAAGATCTTGGATTGGGAGTCTCGGTCATACCAAAAGAGTCTTTAGTAACACATGCGTTTAAATGGGACACAATTGTAGTTTACACGAAGAGTGCCGGCGGTGTTCTGGACCACGGAATAATCAAACTGTTGACTATGGGAATTCAACGGTTGCGTGCAATAAGCCTGGATTTGGCCCAGTCAGCTACAAAACTGCGAAGACAAGTTATGCCAGTTGAGTCGGTGAACTACTTGTATCGCAAATTGCATGAGAATAGTTCTAAGCTGCTTATAGGAACTGGAAGTTTTTGGCCATATTTTGAGTTGCACAAGGAGTTGCAAAGCGTGTCCACAACTTATCACGGGACTTTGGGGCATTGTATTCGTGGAAATGCCTACTGTTCAGCTGAAATACATCCGAGAGCACCTGATCCTGATGCATTTGAAGTATTCCGCACACTGTTTGATCCAATATTATCACACTTTGCCTCCGTATTGAATGCCACCTGTCAGCCTGATTCATATTATCACGTACCCAAGGAATTGAATACAAAGGTAAACATTCCCAACGTACTGAGATACCGCGTGCGTTTTGTGCGTAACATCGCTGGCTTCCCTTTTTCGCCTATCATGACCGTGAACGAATATGAGACAGTGGAACGGATATGCAAGGAAGCTCTACTTGCATGGAAAGAGGAGGGTTCCGGAAATTGGTATAGATTACAAGATATTGAGGACCAAAATCCAAAGCTGTACCATCATCTTCAAAGAAGGCATCTTCTGACGCCAAATCAGACTGCTATACGAAAAGCTTGTGGGAACTACCGCTTCTGGCCACAAGGCAGGAGTGTGTACATTGCTCCATCCAAACACCCGGCCTGTGATCTTGTCGTTCAAATTAATCACGAAGACCATTTACGTGTAATCTGTGTGGACTGGTCAGGAAAGCATCCGTATCTTGCATACAGTCGTGCTACTCGGCTAATCGCATGGCTAGATGGACGGCTAAATTTCAGCAGAAGCCCTAAATGGGGCTACTTGAGTCCGTTAGTAAGCAATGTGGGCACAGGGATGCAACTGAGTGCATGGTTGAAACTACCCAGATTAGAGAAGAACATTGCACTGGTTGAACGTGTTTGCACGCGATACCGTCTGCGATTCGGTTCCACGTGTCCACATGGCATATCGTCAATGAATCAGATTTTTGATGTCGCACCAATTTCATCATTGGGTCGCAGTGAGTCCCAGATTGCAACAGGCTTTATACAGTCATTGCGTCGGATTTGCAAGGTATATGGAAAACATTCTTGAGAATCCTAACAACCGAGTATAGTTTGAAAGGCAAACTAATGTCCTATGAAGTGCATGGAAGCACCAACCCGATTCCAGGGACGAACAAACGCCACTTTTTGCGTATCAGAACTGTTCATTTTGAAAACAGCAAGCCGCTCGAGAAATTTTTAATTTTCAGCCGCACTTGCGTACACGCGCTTTTCTGTGTACGCAAGCATATACGCTGTGTTAAACTCTGTTATATCTGATACGCAGATCATATTTTGTGAAACTTTAGCAAAGAGCGGAATTGTGTTTTATTCAAATTATTTTTTCACCTTGGGTGCGGGTGTGAAGAGAGTCTTGTCGCATTAGCGGCTAACTTTATAGGACGGGTCGAACGACTTTGTGGAGATAAGACACGTTATTCGCATCATTTCCTAGTGCGAACATTGTAAGTCTTCCGGTTTGCTCATCCGCCGAAAAACGTCAGGACAGTCGTCATTCTGAACGATCATTTACTTTTCTAGAACCCCAAATAATTTGAAACTAACGTCTCTACCTAACCTATGAGTCGTGGTGGTAGTAAGCCGTAGTGGTCGTTATACAGTTGCGGTTTATCGTCTGTGTTTTCAAGGTTCATCAAACGGCACAAAGCACTTCCGGGCATGAATTTAGGAATTCGCAAGTAGGCTGTCGCGTAGGCAACATCATGAACTCATCGACTACTCCTTCACCGCCAAATCCAGAGGCCTTCTGGTTAGATACGGTCGATAAGTCAGCGTTTTCGGTTTTTACCACAATCACTGGTTATTCTGGTGATTTTGGCCACCTTCAAGTAACCGTTAACTATAGGGGCTGCTGGTAAAGTGGCATCTGTGCAAATGGATGTGTAGCGATTGTGGTATGTACGGCCGACGGAAGCCCAAAAAGTTTGAAATTTTTACGCACTTAGAGACACTTGATTTAGAATACACCAGCTTTTCATTCTTCCCTGAGACTGCATTATAACACGCTCCAGGAATGTCAAAAGTCCGTGATACACGGGCTCTTCCGCCGATACGTCTTAGAATTTAGGCCTCAAATTAGCCACCCACACTTTCCTAGTACATCCAAGACAAATGGAGTCACGAAAGACGTTTCAATGGTTGTTATGGGTAGAAATATCACGTTAATTTCGTACACATTATAATAAAAATGCAGACAATGCAACAACTAAAACGCGCCGATGCTGACCTGATGAGAGCCATGGTCTGCATGCACAGTCATCGTTTGGTACAAAAACTGGAGCATGGTGATATGGACAATCCTCAAGAAATTCTGTCCGTTAATACGTTCGAGCGCTAATGAAGGTAACCTAAACTGATAAAACTGCTTTCGGTAAGAATCTGTAGGTAATGCTCAACTGAATGTGTTGTTTTCTGATGAACGCGTATACATTAACCCAGCTTTGCTGCACGGCTCATTTACCATGACAGGAAAGAAATCACCAAATTAAGTGTTAGAAAATCTAGGATATCTATTTTCGATCGTTTTTGGATTCAGGAAGCAAGTAGGCCAACGAGCCAAAAGGTCACCAGGTGTGCTTATACTCCGAATCACATCTGGTTGTTTGCACCAGCCGAAGCTATATAGGGAAGAAGACTCTGGAGACTCTGACTTGGTCAGATCAAGAGGAGCAAATAATAAAATTGTCAGAATAACTGTTTCGTATGGTGTCACATTCCTCAGAAATCGATAGCACTTTTGACCGTTTGCTGCATACAGCATTATGCGACGAACTATCCCGAGTATTTTGTGATACTGTTGAGAAAATGATGCACCTTATACGAGCCGAAACGCATCTATTTCTGTGACATACTTTGAACCGTACATCCCAGTGGATTGCTGACCGTAAAAAGCCCAGCTTACTTCTCCTCATGACGCTTTATTTTCTCTAAATTGGAGGATTACTGTGGATAGTACCTGACTTTGAGCTGAATCAGCAGATCAGCTTCATTTATATTGGCTCTCATGTACGATCTCCAGTCTAATTTCTTGGCAGTTGGACAAAAGGGAAATAAGATTGTGGAGGTAGAGAAAAATGCAGGAGCTGAAATCGTCAGAGTAATTGTCCCCAAAAGCTGTCCAATCGCTCCACACTTGCTTCGGACAGAAAACTTAGAATCGGAAGCAAGGCGTCTGACTAAAACAGCAGACAGCCACCACTGCAACGGTGATACTACTGATGGGAGGGGGCATGAGAGTAGTATGTTTTCTCGTAAATCCGCTTTGCGTCTCTTGAAAAGTGAGATATATTGCGGAATTTGTTGGGTCGCTTTGTGGCATTTGTTTGAATTCGAGCAACAGTCAATGAATATCCAGGAAAGTTCAGGAAGACGCGTTCAAAGAGAAGTTGGATATTCAGTTTTTGTAAACAAGATGCATAAGAGAGTTTTGCTTCTATATCCAATAGTCTGTAACTGTTCAGTTGGCATTTTCTAATAACTCCGCGGCGAATGCCTTCTTCCTTTTACCATGTGTAGTGACGGCTTAACAACTAATGAACTCGATTGAGCAATCCAATACTGGAAACGCAATTTCCCCCAACTATTGAATCAGACTTTCTCTGGAACTTTGCTACAAGGACCCAGAAATACGACATAAATTGCATTGGGAAGCCGGTGGTTAGTTCCGTGAATAGGTTGTGTGGGTGTATTATATAGCACCAATCCGATTTTGCGAACAGCGGCATAAAATATTTTACTGAACACCGAAATACCAAGTCCACCAGGTGAAGTAATTAGAAATACTGACACGGCCTCTCAACTTGGTGAACTTATGTAGTTTATTAGCCCAGCTGGTGAAAATTATTCAACAATATTGCTAAAGAAGGGAAAAACAACGGTGTGACTTTTCTGCTCGTTGTGACCAGTTCATGAAGAAGCGGTTTGAAATAAGGGACAGATGAAAATAACAGCACAATATGTACCGATATCGCAGTCTCGCTGCAAACTATCACAGATCTTGTGAACAGTCCGATGACACTACGGTTCCAGAAACATGATATACAACACATGATAATACAGAGTGGTTTTTAATCGCATTTCTAGCAGTAGCAGTCCGAGTTTGTTCGTGTACTCGTTTTCACCAGGCTTACAGATAGGATACAACAATGGATATATTTTTGAAGAATGTTTGTGAATGTCCATCCACCTCACGCATCAGGTGAAATAGAACTCTGTTACCAGTGATTGTATCGGTGCTGAAACCATTAGCTGCATGACGCTCAGTAGTGTTATCATTGACCTCTCGCAGTAAATTGCTAAGACCAGGGTGGGTTGAGCAGCAAGTGAATGGATTATCACCTCAAATTCTTCACTTTCAGTGTGTCAGCAAAAACTACCACTAATCAATCAGAATGGGAGTCTGCAATGCACCGGTTGCGTTTTCACTCGGGTAGCAAGCGCAACATTAACTGTCATTCCTATATTACTGACCAATGTATCGCTGACTGCAGCCCAAAAATGCGGAAACACACTACTGTATACGTGCAATTCACTAGTCATAGGCCTGATGAAACAAGGAGCACCACTATTCAAACAGTACTATTCAATCAGCTGTGGTGAATAGCACTCCAACGTGTGACAAACAGCAAACGCTGTGTGGTTGTGTCGCCTTCTGGAACCAGGAAGTTAGCAATCGGCTAATCTAATGCTAATCGAATTGTCAGTGGCTTGACGTTTTGGATGCCATATATCAGTTTACACGCACATGGTTTAGTGTACAACTCTCAAAATATTGTAGCGTGTGTATCCAAACCAACTTTTTTCATGAGGTCCGCATTGATTCATGTTCATCATCCACTTTTGCGAAATTCCACAATACAAGAGTTATCATAAATCAACTGTTCAACGGTTTGCCCCTGGGGATTCAAAGAACCTGGAGGGTCTCCGCTCTCACGAATTGCCAATGCGTTTGGGTTTGAAAAGATACATTCTCCAGACATTCACGATACAGGAGAAAATTGACTCGAGTGATAAAGCCGTCGTTGCATCAATGTTTACACTTGAGATAAAGGAAGAAGAGCAGGCAGGTGAAACCCGCCACTTTTTTGGCAAAGCCATATGAATTCTGAACATAAATACCAGAATACCGGGAAAGGATTCTAGGATACCTGTCAAGAATCTGGTCAGCTCATGCGGCAGAGAACCGTCCACCATCGGTCTTACTGGAACGTTTCGTTTATGGATTTTTGGTGGGCCGTAAAGCCACGGTTGGGTTGCACTTTTGGGGGTACGATCGAGACCAGTTACCTTGCCCCGAACGATTTGCTACGGAGTGTAAATGCGTACCAACTTTAGCCTCATTCCTATTCATTACAGATTTAATATCCCCACTACCGACCCGTCAGTAAGGACCCTCAGCTAGGTCTTGCTTGTCCTTTTGTAGATAATCACTCTTGTTCAGGCTTTACGCTTATCCACCTTTGTGATCACTATGTTGTTCACCTGTTTTGAAGTGTTTAACGCTCTTTGCTCTTCTCATATAATAATTGGAGCCCCTGACCACCTGTACCTGTAATTTCTCCGCCCCCATCGGTGGGGGGTTTTGAAACACAGGTTCAACGCGAGATATCATCTCTTTCGACCTTCTCACCCTTTTACTTGCAGCAAAAGTCAAGCCCTTCGCTGGCAGACAACGTTCTTTCTAACTTAGCGGTCTATTTTATAAATTTGCCACTAGACGGCTCCCGCTTCGTTACAAGCTGACTATAAAGTAAATTGTCAAACTTAATAAGTTGTGTATCTTCGCGGTCTGTTGAAGTGAGCACGGTCTAAAAACCTTGGCTGACCTGACATTTGTGGTGACGGATGTTACATAAACATCGAGTAGTCAAGTAGATCTCTTATTTGAGGAATGACTTGGGCGCTGAGACTGCTCTTCGGGCGACGTGTCTGGTAGCTTAACCAGTGAGGATATGGATATTAAACTGTGCTTCAGGCATCTTTTATTGGATATGCAGTGGTTCTCTCAGTTTGTCACCAACCTTACCC